AGTAGGCCATTTCTCCATGAATTATGCCAGGCTGTCTCAGTGAGCCTTTTTAGTCTGGGGACTCATATCTTTAAATGTGGGCAGTTCTGTGATCTCTTAGGCAATATTCTGATTAGCTATTGCTAACATTGTAATAAATGCCCCCCAGCTTAAGTGACTTAAAACCACAATCATCACTTTATAACCTCTCGTGGATGTTGGAAAAGCTTTGCTAGGTGGTTCTCTGTCATGAGATCATAGCGAGATGACAGCAGGATCTGGAACCGTGGGGACTGGAGCAGCTGGGGTCTTATTGGACATCTTTCTTTTCTCAGAGCATCCTATGTGATCTCTCCACAAGGCCTCTTTTGGGCTTCCTCACAGTATGGCAGCCTTGGGCAATCTGTCAGATTTCATAGTGGCTCAGGACTCCAAGGCAATTCTTCCAGCAAGCACAGCAGAAAGAATGTTGCCTTTGATGACCTCACTTCCTATCAGACAGTCTCTCTTCTATCACACTGGTGAATATACAGTCACAAAAGCCTCTGAGGATTCTAGGGCAAAGGAATTGCAAAACTGGGCAATTCAGATAAGAATTCTTAACCCTCCTTAATATTAAGAGGTATACCGGCCACAAGCATAGTCAGTCTTCACACTGATATGTCTTTAAAAAATAAATGTAGCTTTAACTCACTTTTTTTTTTTTGAGATGGAGTTTCACTCTTGTTGCCCAGGCTGGAGTGCAATGGCACCATCTCGGCTCATTCAAGTGATTCTCCTGCCTCAGCCTCCCAAGTAGCTTAGGATTACAGGTGCGCCACCATGTTCGGCTAATTTTGTATTTTTAGTAGAGATGGGATTCTCCATGTTGGTCAGTCTGGTCTTGAACTCCTGACCTCAGGTGATCTGCCTGCCTCAGCCTTCCAAAGTGCTGGGATTATAGGCATGAGCCACTGAGCCCAGCAACTCACCTACATTTTAAATGTATTGTCCTACTATTGATTACAACCACTTCTTGATGGGGGCATGGCAAGATTCTAGAAAAGTATGTGGGATGGGGGATACTGTGACAGCCATCTTTGGAAAATACAATTTGCTACAATTTCCTCTTCCTTTCAATTCTTTCTTTATATTTCTCCTAATAGTCAGTTTTGATCCTCTGGACTAATCCTCTAATTTTCTTATCTATTCTCTATTATTAACTCTCACTTTATTCTTTTGTTTTGCTTTCTAGTAGGTTTCATTGACTTTAGCATCCAATTCTACTACTGACTTTTACATTTTGACTATCATATAAAATCTGTTCTTTCTCTTTATTTTGAGACAGAGTCTCACTCTGTCACCCAGGCTGGAGTGCAATGGCGTGATCTCAGCTCACTGCAAGCTCTGCATCCCAGGTTCAGGTGATTCTCCTGCCTCAGCCTCCTGAGCAGTTGGGATTACAGGTGTGTGCGCCCACATCCGGCTAATTTTCGTATTTTTGGTAGAAACAGGGTTTCGCCATGGTGGTCAGGCTGGTCTTGAACTCCTGACCTCAGGTGATCCGCCCACCTCAGTCTCCCAAACTGCTGGGATTACAGGAGTGAGCCACCATGTCCAGCCTGTTCCTCTTTATTTTTTAAAGTATTGCATTCTGTTTTTTTTTTTTTAATTTCATGGATGTAATATCTTCTATTATCTTTCTCAAGCTATTTATTTTAATTTATTTGAATTGTTTTGCTTTCTACAATTGCCACTTTTCTCCATGAGTTCTTTTTCTCTCCTCTTGTTCATTTTATTCCCTATTATCTTTGAGGCTTTTCTTGAACACTTGATTATTCTTGGGTGTTTCTCATTGGAAGTGCATGGGTGGACTTGTGCGCTGCAGTGTCTTGATCAAGTGGCCAGGCAGCTACTTTTATTGGGATTTCCAAATGCCAGTGTTTGTTGGTCTTTTCTCTGGGGTCATTTGGTCTCTTCTGAGATGGCTTCTCCCATCTCCTGTGGGGAGCCCAGGTGCTGGTGTCTGGGGCTGAGTGGGGAAGGGTTAGGATGCTGTTCAGCAACTCTGCTTTGATTTTCCTGGACCATTTGATGTTCCCATTTTGGAGCTTCCCTGCTTGACTTATTTCGTAACTCCATAACTCCAGAACAGACTCCTGGGGCTCCTGCAAGGTTGGGGAGGTAGGATGGCCTTACTGAGGAAGGAGAAAGTGGGTCCCTAGAATGGTCTCACTACTCCTCACAGCGATAATCCCTGCCTCGCTTCTGCTTTCTGCAGTAGCTGGTATCTCCCATTAATGATTTTTTCCGTAGCCAATAGGCTTTCCTTTCCTTGATACCTCCTGCAGCCATAGGGATTTGACTTTCCTCCTTCCTGCTGGCTCATATACTGTTGTGTCATCTGCTTTCTGTTTCTTTTTGTGCTTCAGGGGTTTAGGCATCTCCTAGCTCCATTGAAAATGGAGTGGTATTTCTGGGTTTTTTTTCTTTCTTTCTTTTATACATTGGGTGATATTCAAGAGGAGAAGAGGCAGAATCTGAAAGAGCTTTCTTCTTGAGCCCCAGTGAAGGGGACACCTCAACCAGCCCCCTAGGCATCCTGTGCAGGGTTAGAGGCATCTTCTGAATATCCTGTGGGGCTGGTTTAGGTGTCCCCTTATCTGGGGCTCAAGAAGAAAGCCTCCTTTGCATAGAGCACACGCTGTTTACCTGACCACTTTTCTACTAGATTAGGAATACCTGCAGAGTAGAGATTACTTCTTATTTAACCTTATTTTCCTAGAGCCCAGGAAGGTGCTCAGTACATGTGAATTGATAACAAATGAATAGAAGAAAGCATTTCAAAAACATGAACAGTATCAAGAGAATAAACCTCTGAGAGAAGTTATTTGGTTATTTAGAATTCTCTTAAAGCTGGGGCTGAATGGCATAAATCTTAGCAAGTC